TTGTTATGAAAGTGGCTCATATATACCCCTACTTGTAAACAAATGGCTCACATATACCCTTTTCCTCTAACGGAAATGGAAAAAATAATAATTTTAATCTAAATTTTTATTATTTTTTTCTAAAAAATATAATCCCATATGAGTAAATTTAATCGTCGTCAAACATATTTTTTTGACCTATTTTTGTTTCAATGACTAATTTATAATTATTATTTTGATAATCATATTTATTTATGTTTCACTAATATTCTTGTAAAACTTATTGTTGATGACCAAATTTTTTCTTCGAATACGAAATTAAATTACAATACACACAAAAAAATAGTTTAAATTTGTTTTCTTTAAACTAAGGAATGAAAGAAAAAACATAAGAATAAGAAACTCAAATAATTATAATAAAAAAAAGTCAAAAAAATAATTTATATATGAAAAAAATTAAAATATACCTTAAACTTTAATAGAAGAATCATATATACCCCTAAATAATTTTTAAAAAAAAATTACAAGTAATAAATATAAATTCAAAACTAATTTTTTAAATTTAAAACTAATTTTTTAACTCCCGTTAAATGAAGGGTATTTATGAGCCATTTTGTAACGGGAGGGGTATATGTGAGCCGTTTGTTTAACGGTAAGGGCATATATGAGCCACTTTTATAACGGGGGTATATTAGCTCCAAATGACAAAGTTGAGGGGTATATCAGACTCTTTTCCCTAGATAAAATAATAAATACAGGGATGGATCATTTAAATATTCAAAAACACCCAGAGTCTCAATAGTTAATGGAATTGTATTTGTATTTTATTGCACGATTTACCTCAAAGAAGTCTTTGAAGGTATGGGGGACCATATTGGGGAAGAAGGATGTTGTGTTGATTTATGATGGAGCATCAACGAATTTTATCTATTGTATAGTGACCGAAGAATTAGGGTTAAAAAAACAGAAACTAAGTCACTTGTGGTGGAAGTAGAGAACGAATAACAAGAAAAAAGTAAGGGAAGCTACAAAAAGGTGAAATTGTGGATCGGCAAATTGTGCATCACGCAGGATTATTTCCTTTTTAATTAAGGAAGTGCCTATTTAGTGTTGGGATTAGAGTGGTTAGAGACTTTAGGGGATATACAAGTTAATTTAAAACATTGACGCTAAATTTGATTTGGAGAGGGGGGGGGGGGGGTCAAACACAAGTTGTTCGAGCAAACCTTTCATTGTCCAAATTACTGGCTTCACTCAATATTTTGTTTAAAGGATTGCAAATAGATAGAGAAGGATATTATGTTGACTTGAATGAGTTATCAACAAAGGAAGAACAAGAGAATTCGGATTTGCTACAATTGCAAAATTAATTTGGAACTTTATTTGAGGAACTAAAAGGTCCGCCACATAGTAGGAGTCATGATCCTGCTTTTCGACTTAACAAGGGATCTAATCCACCTAATATTCGTTTGTATCTCTATCTCCATTACCAGAAAATTGAGTTTGAGCGAACTATATTGGAAATGCTTGTAGCTGGTATCATTCAAGAAAGTACAAGTCCTTTCTCCAATCTAGTGTTGCTCTTTCTCAAAAAAATAGAAGTTGGCTATTTTGTGTAGATTATCTAGTCCTTAATAAGATTATTGTTTCTGATAAATTTCCAATTCCTGCAATCGATGAATTACGGGATGAGCTTGGGGTGCCTTTGTCTTTTCGAAATTGGATCTAAGATCGGGGTACCATCAAATTTGGGTTTGCGAGGAGGATGTACCAAAGACAGTTTATCATACACATGAAGGCCATTATGACTTTTTGGTCATACCACTTGGGTTGTCAAATGCTCGATCTACTTTTCAAGCCTTGATGAAAGAAATATTTCAGGCATACTTACCTAAGTTTGTATTAGTTTTTTTTATGACATATTAGTTTATAGTGCAGATTTTCCTATTCACTTGGGTCATTTGCAGGAGGTATTACCATTTTTAAAATTTACAACTTGGTTGTCAATTGAAGAAAGTGTCATTTTGGTCAGCAACAACAAGAGTATTTTGGACATATTATTTCAGCAAGTGGAGTCTCATCGGATCCCGCAAAAAATACTAGTATCGAAAATTGGCCAACTTCAAAAGATGTTAAGGGTTTGCGGTTTTTTTAGGAATCACTAGTTAATATCGAAAATTTATTCAGAACTATGGGAAACAACCCATCCACTAACACAATTTGTCATGAAAATGCTTTTCGTTGGAATGGAGAAGCTCAATTAGCTTTTTATTCTCTTAAGGAGGCTATGGTAACTTTGCCGGTTTTGGCACTACCAGATTTTAACAAAGTATTTGTGGTTGAAACAGATGCTTTAGGATTAGGAGTTAGAGTTATTCTGATGCAAGGATATCGAATCTCTTTTGAAAGTCGAGGACTTTATATCTAAATCAATATATGAGAAGGAGTTAATGGCCATTGTTTTTGCTGTACAAAAGTGGTGCCATTACTTGATGGCTCAGCATTTCTTGATATGCACAGATCAACAAAGTCTCCAATCCCTCATGGGCCTGCATTCTATGGCAGAACAGCAACAAAAATGGATCACCAAGTTGATGGAATTTGATTTTGATATTCAATATCGCCTAGGTTGTGAAAATAAAGACGTTTATGCCTTATCCCACAATTTTCATTTTATGGCTTTTTATGTTTTACGCAGCAATACCTTAGATGATCTTTCCTAAGAAATTCAACAGGATGATCAACCTCTGTCAATTAACACTAATTTTGCTTCAAGATACAGCTTCACGGCCGAATTATGTTCTAAAAAATGGCTGCCTAATTTTCATAAGGTGATTCCCAGTTCGTCATTACACATTCCCATGCTCCTAACGTAATTCCACTCCTCACCTACTGTTGGATATTCAGGATTTTTCCGGACATGGAAGCGCATTTCTCAAGTGTTTTATTGGACTAGAATCAAAACGGATGTACATACTTTGTGGCTAGTTGTGCAGTTTGCATGCAGAACAAGTATGAAGCCCTTAGTCTCACTAGCTTGCTGCAACGATAGCCTATTTCTCAAGTTTGGAATGATATTTCTATGGAACTGATCAGTGGGTTGCCTATTCCTATTCAAGTTTAGAACGATATTTCTATGGATTTCATTAGCGGGTTACAAAAGCAATGGGACATGACACTATACTTGCTTTGGTAGACCATTTTTCTATATATAGTTATTTTCTCCTCTTATCTCTCATACATATACTACAAAGAATGTGGCTGCACTATTTGTTTGTGAGATTATACGTTTCCATAATGGTTTTCCCAAATCTGTTGTGTTTGAACGAGATCGGATTTTTGTCTGACAGTTTTTGCAAGAATTGTTCAAGTTGTCTAGTACTAGCCTCAAATTGAGCTCAGCTTATCACCCTCAATATATCGTCAAACTGAGGTTGTCAATCGCTCCTTCAAGACTTATTTACGTTGTTTTGTAAGTTCACATGCATGAAAATGGCCAAGATTGATTCCTTGGGTTGAATTCAGTGGAAGAACTTACCAGACATTCAGAAGATTTTGAGTACACCTGGGAATCCTATGCAGTCATTGATGCGAAGTTTCCTCAATTTCCCTTTTGAGGATAAAGTGAAACTCGCTGGGGCGGATATTCTTAGACTTACTATTAGTAGGGTCTATAGTCTCAAGAATAAGGGTTTAAATAAGGCCTAAATGTATATTTTTATTTAGTAATTATTATGTGTATGTATTTCTAGTAGTTGCCTAGCACCATTAGCAGTCAGTCTTTCGGGTAGGATTTTTTCTCTGAAAGATTTGGAGGTTAAGGTTCCTCTAAATACCTTGGTTTTTAGAACTATTCTCTATTATCAATTTGTAAATTTATTTTGTTTGTTGGTGTTAGTAAATTCTAGTTTAAGTGTTATTCTTACTTCTATATTGCATTTGAAAGTTTACAGATCTGTTGTTAGGAGAGCCTGTGTTCCTAACATATTCTTTTGTCCATGTAATAGCTAGTACAAGTAAAAAGTTATAAATTGAGATGGTTGCGATAAAATTTCCCATATTATTAATATTATGCATGTGACTGTAAATTAATGCATGAATTAGTTGCAGAATGCATGCCCCTTGATCTTTATAAATGCCCAATAAAATTGACATCATTACAATTTATAGTATATAGGCTTCCTGTTTTTGGCATCAACATTTATTAGTTTGAATATCAAACCTAATATATGTAAATGACTAATAAGACTATCTTTCCATGAATATTAGCATAAATATTGAACATTCTCATTGTTTGATATAAGCTACTCAAGTAAGTTGAAACTGACGGTGTATATACAATAACTATTTTAACACCTATTCCCCAGCTTACACTATTTCATCCTTTTCATTTCTCACATTTGGGACTTAATCTAGTATCTAATATCCGTATAGATTGTCATGGTTGCCAAGTCTTGTTCTCTCTTTCCATTGAAGCCACTTAAAAGAACAGATCTATAAAGATAGAACTAGAACAAAAATTTACTTGTAAATTACTTCACTTAAAATTCTACACTTACCTCATTTGTTCAGACTAGCTTTATTGAAAATTTCAGGCACATTTGCAACATTCTTGCTTTCATCCACAACAGGTAGATTTTGTCTCTGTTAAAGGATAAAACGGTTTTAAAGTTAGGATTAAACTAGTACTCCACACAAGAGAAATAGGATCATTTGAGCCTAATCCAAAGATAACGAACTATTTTGAGACTTCCTCCTCAACAAAAGATATTTTTGATTATTATCTCAAAAAAAGAAATTTCTTATCTCCAACAAAAGATAACTTTGACTAATTAGTTACTTATTTTACACAAATAAACAACAGTATGAAGAACTGTGATGATAAGATTTTCTTTTGTCCTATATTTTGGATAGCTAATAAGAAACAATAGTAAGAATGTAGAGAAAGAGCAAGGCTAGGACTCTGACGTAGAGCACAAACAATACTTATTAGGGTTAGTCATCTAAGATCAACACAATGGTTCAAGCATCTAAAATTTCATGTACACTTCGTGGCTACAGAGAGCAGATTTTCAACAGCAGAATGAAGTAATTAGGTTTATACAAAACAATCTGTCAGAAAAGATTTCAATATTAGAAATACAACATATGAGATTTTCTATGAGGCACATACAGAATCATTGCTAATACGCAAACTCATTTTAGCATTACTAAGACCTCCCTTTCGGTGTAAATTCCATCATTTAAAGCTGAAGAAGATTATCAGTGAGTTCGATCTATTCTAACCCCATCAAATTTCTGCACAAATTCACAACATATAGAGGCATTCAACTTTTCGTAGTGTCCTCATGACAGTCTTGGTGTCTTTCCACGAGTTTCAGACCATTTTTCCTTGAATACACGCTTAACTACAAAGTTTTGGCCCTTCACCCGATCCAATTATCTCATACTGACAATATAACTTGGAGAGCCCTCCAAGCACAATTCACACAACATCTTGATCGAATCAGAACATTCATCAGATGAAAAGGGAAATGAGAATACTGCTCAAGTGATCAAAACTTAGTCAAATGTTTTTTTTTCTCCGAGATTATGATCCTGGAGATGTATATACATAAGAGATTACCGCAAGGCAATCCAGGCAGAAGGAGAATGATTAAACATGCACGACACTGTTTTGCGTTCCACATATCTTAAGGCTATAAAATTACCTTACAAAAAAATTGGCTTTGCTTGTAGCTAATATAGCTAGATGATCGGCCACTGTTTTGGTTCTCTGTAGCCGGAGCGAAGCAAAAATCAGCATTTCTTAGCAAATAATCAGTCTCGTCCATTATACTTTTCAGGTCGATGTTATCAAATCATCAATCTCGTCCATTATACTCTTCAGGTCAAGGTTTTGAGAGGTTCTATTCTTCATCATCAACACTGGAGAGTTGATTTTTTGCGTTTGCTACCCTTATTCAACCACTACTTGCAGGATTTGGCTGAATACCATTTCGAGCACTAGTCTCCAAGGTCAACATCTTTGAAGATATCTATTGAAGATAATCTTGCTGCAATATTAGATAAATGCAGGTTAAATACATATAACATCATGTTGGCAAACAGGGTTAGCCTATGCAAGGTAGGTTCAAATTTTTTCTTACAAAACTGATGCAGCGGGCTTACCAAATAGCAAATGTAACCCCACAAATAGGTCTGGGGAGGATTGATGTACGGAGAATCACTAATCTTCAAATGAAGTAAAAAATCTCACAAATAGCAGTTTAAAAAGTGAAATAAATAAATTAAGTCCTTAATACTAAACTTCTTTAGGCATGCAAAGCGCAAACAACAACATCTCGAATCTGGGGAGGAAAGAGTATAAGCAGACCTTTAACCTACCTTGTGGCGTATTCCTTGGGTGTGGAAAGTGTTGTTCATCTTGTATTCCAAACATACTTAGAATAAAACTTTAAACATCTTTGTAAGAAAACAAAGTTTAAGAACATTTTCACAACTAGAAAATTAAAACTAGTAGCGAAACTAGAATCAGAAACAGATTTTTTAAAAAAAAATATACGAAATATTTTTCTTAATACTAAACTTCTTTAGGCATGCAAAGCGCAAACAACAACATCTCAAATCTGGGGAGGATAGAGTATACGCAGACCTTAAACCTACTTTGTGGCGGTTCCTTGGGTGTGGAAAGTGTTGTTCATCTTGTATTCCAAACATACTTAGAACAAAACATTAAACATCTTTGTAAGAAAACAAAGTTTAAGAACATTTTCACAACTAGAAAATTAAAACTAGTAGCGAAACTAGAATCGGAAACAGATTTTTTTAAAAAAAAATATGCGAAATATTTTTTTTAAAAAAGAATTGTTGTTAATATGTGTCTAAAGAATATTACTGATTTCAACAAACTTTGCAGAAACATGAAGTTACCAAGTTTAATGAACCAGTGAAGAACAAAAGAATAGAAGAACTGAAATTAATTCACAAATCTAAAGTTTGTAAAACACGTACCAGAATTTAGAAAATTTTTAATAGGAAAAATATCAAGTCCACTGAATTCACAGTGTCCCCTTAAGGAAATTATTCCCTTCTAGTATCCAAGGTTTGATTTGGAATATGACCTCCCAGGGTAAAATGATCTCAATCACCAGAGTATAGATACCAAAAACTGCGGTGTCAGCGAACCACTTAATGGCAGTAAAGTACACTTAGAATACTAGATTTAGTAGTTGAAGAAGTCCATAAATTTTGTTTTAAATGAGAGGAAATCCCTCAATTTATAGAAAACAAAGGATAGTGCGAAAAGGTTCTTATTGTGCCTTACCGGAAATGTCACAAACCTTTGGAAAAGTCACAATCTTTCAGAAAGGTCGTCACCTTTCATAAAAGTCACAACTTTCCATAAAAGTCACAACTTTCCATAAAAGTCACAACTTTTCATAAAAGTAGCAACTTTTCATAAAAGTCACAACATTTCATAAAAGTCACAACTCTTCATAAAAGTCGCAACTCTTCATTTTCCATTCACACCTTTTTAAAATCCAACAATCCCCCGCATGAATGGGGAATGACTCGAAGACAAAGAAACGGACAAGTATGTGTACTTTACAAGCAAGAATTAATTCCATCTGGATAAGTAGGTTTCCGCTTGAACTTCTGTAGTGAACATATGTCGGATATACTCGATCAATCGGTAGATGCGATTTCTTTTAACCATCGGACTTTGGTGTATACCTAGACAACCATATGTCACACAATTAACCCTTTACCATTTATGGTTCTTACGATTGTGTTCATTTTAGCCATGAACACCTCCTAGTTTCATGAGTGTATAGAGAGATGGACTTTTGACAATCATCTTCTTTGAGACACTCACATAGGTGATTTCTAACTGTGTTATCACATAGATACACTATTTGGTCAACTCTGCCAAACTTAGCAAATCATTAAAACCATTAAGCTATATCAACTCATTAACAAGCCTTAATCTTGTATCCTTATCCCTGAGCATTGTCTTCATCATGAGAATGGATTGAGTTTATTGACAATGCCTAGCCATCATTCACAACTTTGTTTTTCTCTTTGAATCTAGCTCTCGGGATCTCCAGTTTGCTAGATAGAGTTACCGCCATGATGACTTGTCCTAAGCCTTAAATTCATTCCCTTAGATGATCTTTTAACATTCTCTCTAGTTAGGACTTTTTGTAAGTGGATCCGACACATTATCCTTTGACTTTACATAGTCAATTCTGGTAATTCTACTAGAGAGTAGTTTTCTAACAGTATCATGTCTATGTCATATATGACGAGACTTTCCGTTATACGTCATGCTCCTGCCCTACCTATTGCATCTTGATTGTGAAAGTGTATGCGTACTAATGCCAATGGTTTGGGCCAAAATAGAATATCTATTAAGAAATTCCGGAGTCTTTTAACTTATTCACCGACCTTATCTAGAGCACCTATGTCAAAGATCATTGTAGAGCTAGCGATACATGTCTCTTTTGAAATATTTCTAAGAGACTGTTCCTCTACCAATAGTAAATACATATCTACTCGTGAATTTTACTTCATTCTTCCGATGATTCAATTTGCATCACTATATCTTTCAATATTGTTGGATATTGTTATAATGCAAGACATAATTTTAAGTATTATTTTAAATACTTCAAAACTCTATTTATTGTCATCTAACGAAATTATTTGGGATCACTTGTGAACCGAATCAGTTTAAAATAGCAAATGCTATATCTGATCGCACACACTATATGATATACATCATGCTTCCCAAAACTCTAGAACAATCCAATTGTGAGTCACTTTTGTTTTCACTCTTTTGAAATGCAAAGCTCACATTTATTGGACACTTGACAATGTTGACATTCAAATATTTGAACTAGTTAAGTACCTTTTCAATGCAATGAGACCGTGAAAATGCTAAACATTGTGGAGTTCTACAAATTCTTGTATCTAATATCGCATTAGCAACTCCAATAATTTTCATTCCACTTGCTTTATAGCATACGTTTAGTAGCATTTATGTCATTAGTGTCTATATTTATGATCAACATATCACCAATATAAAAACAAACAATAACCTTATGATTTTAATGTGAACACATTTATCACTTCCATCATTCTTCAATCCATTTGCCGACATGGTTTAATTGAATTATGTCATTGTTTTGGTGCTTCCAAAATGTGACTTAAAAAGTTCACATACTTTCTTTTATTTACCAGGTACCACAAAACCCTCGGGTTGTTCCATGTAAATTTCTTCCTCCAATTCTACATTTAAGAAAGTTCTTTTCACATTCATTTGATGAATTTGGAGGTCATATACCACAGTAATAATTTTTGCATCCGAATGGATGTAATTCTAATTCCTAACGAGTATATATATTGACAAGATCAAATCTTATATTTTTTTCTAAAGCCTTTGACCCAAAGTCTTGCTTTATATTTTTCAACAGTTCCATCAACTGTTATATTTCCTTCTAAAGATTCATTTTGAACCCAAATGTTTATTTTCTTGAAGAAGATCAATTAACTTTCAATATTGTTTATTGACACCATCTTTCCAAAGGATGAGTCTAGAGAAGACACAGAAAATGTTACAAAATCATATTCGAAGGAAGTAAATGTCCATTAACATTTTACTAAGCCTCTGAATCTCTTTATTAAGTACATTATCCTTTTCATTTCCTAGGCATTTTAGATCCTTCTCTAGACTACTCAAGCCTAATTTTACAGTCCAGAGTTATAGGTCCTATTTTAGTTCTTTTAGGAATAGGATCTTGGACTTTGACTAGATACCCCCACACTTTGAAATATTTCAAGTTGGATTTCCTTTCTTTCCATTTCTCATATGGAAAAGATTGTATTCTGATCAAATAAAATCGCTTTCTTTTTAAAAGGACAAAACTTTTTGTTGATCCCTTTTGCAGTAAGGATAGTTCCTCCACACAAGTTTTGTATAAACCCAAACTTATAAATAATGCATCCATCATTTCTTTCAACGTTCGATTTTTTATTTGATTGAGGTGAATATGACGGTAGTTTGATATTTCACTTTTCAAACATATTTCTGCACAATGAGATTTATACTCTCCATTCTAATCACTTCTTATATACTTTTTCACACTGATTTTCAACTTCAATATTACATTGTCTAGACATTTCTATTGCTTCATCCTTACAATTTAGCAAATATACATAGTCATATCTAATGTTATTCTCAATAAAAGTAACAAATACTTTTTCCCACCATGAGATGGTGTTAACTTCATATCATAAATGTCAGTGTAAATCAATTCTAAGGGATTAGAATTACTTTCAACAGATTTAAAAGAATGCTCAACATAATTAGATTCCACAAAAACATGACATTTTTATTTATTGCACTCAAAGTTAGGCAAAACATCTAAGTTGATCAGTTTTTCTTAATTGACATGCCCCAAGTGTTCATATCACAAACATTGACTCAAGTAAGTAAGAACAAATAAAAACATTGAATTTGAAAATCTCTTCGCGAGGTAGCTTTTTCCTCACTAATATTTTGTTCCTATTTCTTACAATTTTGTGCGATACAAACATTGTTTAGATTGTCAAATATCCTTTTCAGAAGGACATTTCCATAACTTTCAATGTGATTGTTAATAGAACTACCAATGAACAAAGTTTCATCGGGTTCAATAAAGACAATATAGTCCAACTGTTATTTTTACAAAAATATAACAAATGACTATTCACCAATATTTAGGTCTATGCAAATACTTTTAATATAATAGACATATCTTTTCATGAAAAATTACAACATTTTAAGTGTTTTTTTTCCATAAAAGAACACAATTATTTTGAACAAGTATACATATAACTTGGATATTTCATGCTAGTCACACTATATACTAGTAATAGAGAAACTCAACAACCACAATACCAAATATACCCCAAGAATTTTGTGGGTATAACATAATGCAAAAGTATCATTGAATTTCATATCTTTTGTTCCAAAGTTAAATTATACACCAAGTCTAATCATAAGCAAATAACCCCCACATTTCAAATGTGATCTCAAAAATATTTTTCAAGTATTTGAAAATAGTTTTTCCACATATTTTAATGTTGGAAACATTATTCTACGAAAGAATTATAGTGCTGCAATTCTCTTTTACAATGTTTACACAATGTCAAAGTTCATTCCATAGAGACACAAAATCACAAATTCTAAGTTACTGGTATTTTTTCTCTATCATAAATAGCCATCTCACTTAGTACTTTAAATATTAACAATAAGGAAAAAACAAAATTGTACAATTTATTTCTATGTTAAATTGAAGTTTATAGAAAATCAAAAGTACAACACTAACATATTATGTGAAGTTTTCATATTCTTCAAACCAATAGCAGAGTCCAATTTATCCAGAGTATAAAATCACAAAAGTTTTTTAGTCTATCAGACACACTAACATTTCTCATGGAGTACAAAACTACAAAAATCTTTTTTTATCCAAAAAGAACAACACATATTCTTTATCACATAGAAATGTTTTTCTTATCAAATAGTCTTCCAAGAAATATTTTTCTTATCAAATAGTCTTCCAACTATAACAATTTGAAATACTATTTTATCAAATAAAAATATGCATCTCTCATTTTTGCAAACTAAAATTTTTTAAAAGCAACAATATCTGCAAAGTAAAACTCATTCCACAACATATGATTTGCAAATCTTTTTCCAAAGATACACATAAAAAAAAAATCAAAGATGATTACTCTTAGATACTATTTTCCTCCTTAGATAATTTAATAAGAAGGTTACCTGGTAATCTTTAAACGGAATACCATAAAAAAAGTTGTTACATTCTCACTTCGACTTTGCTAAAACAAAGCAACGAATTATGGAGAAGTAATGCATTCATCTTCTACTTCCATGATCAGATTCTCTCAATCAGTAGAATACAAAAAAATACTAACAGTATAATAATCTCCTTAAGATTATTGTTCATCTTGTATTCCAAACATACTTAGAACAAAACTTTAAACATCTTTGTAAGAAAACAAAGTTTAAGAACATTTTCACAACTAGAAAATTAAAACTAGTAGCGAAACTAGAATCAGAAACAGATTTTTTTAAAAAAAAATATACGAAATATTTTTCTTAAAGAAGAAATGTTGTTAATATGTGTCTAAAGAATCTTACTGATTCCAACAAACTTTGCAGAAATACGAAATTACCAAGTTTAATGAACCAGTGAAGAACAAAAGAATAGAAGAACTGAAATTAATTCACAAATCTAAAGTTTGTAAAACACGTACCAGAATCTGAAATTTTTTTAATAGGAAAAAGATCAAGTCCACTGAATTCACACTGCCCCCTTAAGGAAATTATTCCTCTCTAGTATCCGAGGTTTGATTTGGAATATGACCTCCCAAGGTAAAATGATCTCAATCACCAGAGTATAGATACGAAAAACTCCGGTATCAGCGAACCACTCAACGGCAGTAAAGTACACTTAGAATACTTGATTTAGTAGTTGAAGAAGAAGTCCATAAATTCTGTTTGAAATGAGAGGAAACTCCTCAATTTAAAGAAAACAAAGGATAGTGCGAAAAGGTTTTTATTGTGCCTTACCGGAAATGTCACAAACCTTTGGAAATGTCACAATCTTTCAGAAAGGTCGTCACCTTTGATAAAAGTCACAACTTTTCATAAAAGTCACAACTTTTCATAAAGGTCGCAACTTTTCATAAATGTCACAACTCTTCATAAAAGTCGCAATTCTTCATTTTCCATTCACACCTTTTTAAAATCCAACAGAAAGACATTAAAATTAGATATAATTACTTTTATGTGGTGGTCAGTTTCAAAATTTAGTGTTAAAATCGACTCTGTGAATCTATGATGGTTACTCAAATATGACATTATTTAATTTAATTCCATATAGCTTGACTATTTCCATTTTGTGTTGACAAATATATAATGAGTGATATTGGGGAATTATAATTAATATGCTATAATATTTACGTCTGAGAAAAATATGACAATATGCAAAATTAACCCTGTTTTTTGGTATTATCAACACATAATAGTTATTTTACATATATAATTTATCAATCAATAAAAATTACTGATCGCATCCTTAAGATGAAATGATATATAGTATCACACTCTTCTATTTCCCTGTTATAAGAACATTCATGAGAGCAAATATAAGTGCATAAATTTTTTCATTTTTTTAAATGACAACAATGTCTTGGTAAAAGTTCTAAAATAGTGACTAATATGTTTGTTTAAAAGTGTGAAATTCAACATAAACATAATAATACATGCGGGAGATTGAAATCTTTGCAGTTTTTCCTCGCAAGCACACTGTACTGCTTATCTCTCCATCCCTAATACAATGCGTATAGATGACGGGAAATATAAATGCAAGTTTATAAAAGCAGAAATAAAATCAATGAAGTGGAGAACAAATTGCATCATTCATTTTGAAGAATCCCATATCGGATAAAAAAGGGATGGATGGTTTCAAAGAGAACAAATGCATCAAGAGTCCCACATAATATGAAAAAGGGACGGGTTGTTTCCTTATAAGGTCTTGGAAATTACCCCCGCCCTCATGAGCTAGATTTAGAATTCGAACAAATAGCAACAAGTTTAAACTACATAACTGACTTTTAGCGGCAAAATTTATCTTTTCTTGAAACGTCACGACAATTTCCTTAAGCTCCTGTACTCTTTCTAGCAAAGAGACAAAACATGCCTCTTTAAGGTCTCCTTTCTATACAACCATATAAAAAAAGATCACCATAAACTTTTGAGTAGCAGCACAATCTTAATAAATACTTCTCAAATATATTAAAAACAACTTTATATGCCTCTGCTATAAAAGACTAAAATTTGTTTCATCTAAACAAATATTAGTACTTATAATACAATTAGTTCCAGCAGTAACCTGTCATTTGCACTTATCAAGAACAAAGTCTTCGATAAGATCACAATCTACATAATGCTTCTCAAATGTATTAAAAATAATTCGACATAACAGTTACCGTGCTCCAAAATACAAACTTATTTCCTCTAAACAAATATCAGTAGTTATAGTGTAATTATATGAAACACGAACCTACTATTTCGACATATCTAAAGCAAAACATAAAGCACTGTGAGTAAAAATAGGTTTTCCCACTTAAACTTGTCCGTTGAATGATACCACCACAACACCCTTAGCCCTACTCACAACAACAATAACATACCTAGTATAATCACAAAAGTATAATTTCACGAGTGGAGTCAGTATGTACATATATGTTACTCTTGATTGATTATCGAAATTGGTCTAGGGCATAAACTTCCATTAAACTCACTCGGTACCAATAAAAAAAACCACAAAAATTCACCTGATGAACTGAGTTCTCATAAAACAGAAAGAGTATGAAAAAATATGTATTAGATTGATTAATCAATACTTGAGAAAACGAAGAAACACACACACACAAATAAAACCTAAAATTCAAAATTCCAAAATCCTTTAACAAATTAAAGAACAAGTCACAAAAACAAATATAAAAAACTTACGTCATGTTGTCCATCCTTTAACGCAAATCAGACATAAGTAGAGTCTGCCAAATACCGAATCCATAGCTCCGGCAGTCATTGTGCTACCATGACCACCTCATGAACCTCAAAAACCCTAGAATTATTCCAATTCCTATCAATTCCAGACGAAAATTCCTTAATTGACAATCGAAAATCACAATTTTTGCTTCAATATTTCGTTGACTACAGTTTTCTCGGTGTCAACGTTGTCAAATTTCTAAAAACTCATTCCGAGTGTATATAAGTACAACTGCCAAAATGGGTTTAGTCCAGTAGGCCGGCCAAAGCTAACCCTTAAATAAAGTGGGTTTGGGTCTATTTTGTTGGCTAATTTAAGAATAAGGTTTTTCAGCTCAGTCTCATTTGGCCCGCTAGCCTCATAGACCCAACCGCAATTGTTAGAGGTCAGCCCATGGATTATGAATATTTAAAATACTTTATACATATATGTATTTTAGTAGTGTTTTATTTATAAATTTTTTACCAATAAATATTCTTAAAAAAAACAAGTCGTTTAAACTAGCTTATTTTTTGTGGGATGAATGGTGTCATGATCAACATTATTTGGCTAAATCTTATGTTGACTATTATGTATTTTTGTAAGAATTCACCGAAGTGTGATTCATAAATGTATTTTTGTAAGTATTCACCGAAGTATGCCATTAATAAATAAAAATTTGTATTATTGATGTCGTGTTCATAGACATCAACATTCAATACTCTTAGATATTCTTTCTAAGAGATTAATATTATTCGTTTTTTTGCTGAAGGGTCAATCCGTCCCAACCCGTGGCCCACTTAAAGTTGGGTTGTACTTCTATTTTGTAGAACCTTTAATTAAAAGGGTCAGCGTGTCCAGACCCATTTAACTTTCAAGACTGTTAGGGTTGGGTTGAGTTGGGTTAGCCTATTTTTATAACTCTATGAACCAAACTCCCAATGTATGAGAAAAGCCATGAATGGTTCTCAACTATCACAGTATTTCTAAAATAAGTCCTTAATTATATACTTATCCGACTTAATATTTTAATTATTTAAAATATTTTCAAATTTAGTCTTACTATAAACTTTTAGTTCCTTTAAGTAATCAATATATTATATTTTGTGTCTTAATTTTTTATATAAATAAGTTGTGTTTTTATTACAGTACTCATGTATTCGTTGAAATTAAATTCTTAACTCATTTTTCTAGTTATTGCTCTCTCCTCACTATTTTTTTAAAAATAATCTTATGAAAATCATCTTAATTTTAATGATATAAAATAAAACTAATGATAAAAGAAGATTAAGTCTTTATTTTATTTAATAGAGAATAAAATGAAGCATATTATTGTTTCTTATGAGAGGAACTGTTATGTTCTCTTCTTTTGTGGTAAACAATTTATAATTAGAGTGATTTTTTTTTAAATTTCTTGTGTCATACCAAAAAAATGAACTAATTCTTATTACTCAAGTTTCTTATCGTAAATATATCAAAGAGAAAAAAAGTTCTATCAATTTCAGACTTGGTATGTTTTCGTGCTAACCCCTTCTTTCTACATTTTCTACTAAGTGTAGGATTTGGAGAGGTGATGTTCTATACTTGGAAGATAGGTTTCTAAGGAGTTTGGAGATGAAGACTTGGGAAGTACTCATAGTTCAAGGACAAACCCATCTTATCCATTAATATCTTTACTTTATGTCTTTAGACTTTTATGAGGGTCGTGTCCTTAGTTGTATAAAAGAATTGTAATTCCATGCTATAGATGATTTGAGAAATAGTGTCAAAGACTGTTCTTCATATATAAAAAGATTTCCCTTGTAAAGAATTTTTTTTTAATTTTTTGCTATTTTCATATCCTTTAATGTTCATGATATTCTACGGGCTAGTATAATACCCCTTCGGGGGTTAAATATGTCGTGTTATGACTAAGGGTGCTCTCGGGTCGTGATAAACTTTGTACCAGAGCATAAGATTTTGGGAATGGTCTTAAACCACGTCTAGTAGAGTCTTGTTTATCGGAGTAAGTTACGATACGTCTATGAGCGAGAGGCTATAGGACGTTATGAAACTTCACTTCTTCGCTCTCTAAGTCGTACCATAGATCTATTAGCTCTCTCTCTCTCTCTCTCTCTCCTCCTCCCTCCTCTCTCTCTCTCTCTCTCTCTCTTATTCCTTGTTTGATATTGATTTGTTGTCTCATTCATTTTTAATCAACGATTTTGAATTTAAATTTTAAGTACGAAATTTTTTTTAATAGTAAATGCTTTATTCTTATTTCTCAAAGTAAAAACTTCATAAAGTAAATATTAATTTAAAACAATTAAATTTCAACAAAAATATCAAATATCAAATTACATGTGATATCGTAGATTTCTTATGATTTAACATTTTTTTTGATAAATAAGAATTTAGACAAATCTTATCTAATACTCCATAGTGATGTAGATGTATGAAATCCACTTCACAAAAAATAAATTAAAGGGAAAAGGGTCTGATATACCCTTCAACTTTGTCATTTGGAGCTGATATACCCCTCGTTATAAAAGTGGCTCATATATGCCCTTACCGTTATACAAACGACTCACATATACCGCTGCCATTATAAAATGGCTCACATATACCCTTCATTTATCGGAAATTAAAAAATTAGTTTTAAATTTATATTTATTACTTCTAATTTTTTTTTAAAAATTATTTAGGGATATATATGATTCTTTTATCAAAGTTCAAGGTATATTTTAATTTTTTTCATACATAAATTACTTTTTGACTTCTTTTATTATAATTATTTGAATTTATTATTCTTATTTTATTTTTTCTTTCATTCATTAATTTAAAGAATAAAAAATTAAACTATTTTTTGTGTGTATTGTAATTTAATTTCGTATTCGAAGAAAAAATTTGGTTATCTACAATAAGTTTTACAAGAATATTAGTGAAACATAAATAAATTTGATTATCAAAATATAATTAAAAAGTCATTGGAACAAAAAAAAGTCAAAAAAAAATGTTTGACGAGGATTAAATTTACTCATATGGGATTATATTTTTTAGAAAAAAATAAAAATTTAGATTAAAATTATTATTTTTTTCTTTTCCGTTAGAGGAAAAGGGTATATGTGAGTCATTTGTTTACAAGTAGGGTATATATGAGCCACTTTCATAACAAGGGGTATATCAGCTGTAAATGACAAAGTTGAGGGGTATATCAGACCCTTTTTCCAAATAATAATTATAAATTAGTCATTAAAACAAAAAAGTAAAAAAAATATGTTTGACGAGGATTAAATTTACTCATATGGGATTATATTTTTTAGAAAAAAAATTAAAAATTTGGATTAATTTTTTTTTTCATTTCCGTTAGAAGAAAAGGGTATATGTGAGCCATTTGTTACAAGTAGGGGTATATATGAGCCACTTTTATAACGAGGGGTATATCAACTCTAAATCACAAAGTTGAGGGGTATATCAGACCATTTTTCCTAAATTAAATACTAGTAAAAAAAAGTTGAGCTTCCATTCTATTCACTTTTATTTTATGTTTTCAATTTTGTCCCCACCTACTTTTTTTTTAAAAAAAAAGTATTATTTGAAAAAGGCAACATATCACTTTATTCTAAGCTACTATGATATTGACCACCGATAAGAACTTTCCGAGGCCAATCATTTTAAAATTTATAGTGTGTTTTATGTCACCAAATCAGTATTCATACTAATATTGTTTTGGAAATATCTTTTTTTTTATGAAAATTATTTTCGGATATTTAGTAATCAGAAAAAGATTTTTCTTTTCAATTTTCAACCTAAATAGAAACTGATAATAAATTATATTAGCCAATTGAATAGTATATTAACGAATATCTTGAATACTCAAGGCCGATTATAATAATGACATTCAAGAGCTTATTAGGCAAGTAATATAAAATTAGAAGTTTAAGATTATTACAAGAAAAAAGACTTTCACATTCATAAGGAAGCTGTTTTTTTCTTTTTGATGGAAAAATATGCTCAACTTTTTTCATGATTTTCTTTTTTAATAAAAAAATATTTTCATCTTAGCTAACTATAGCTATTAAATCCACCTTTTCTACCCCAAAAAAAATGTTGGTGTTCATTAAGTAGTTTCCCAAAATGTTCATATGATATCTTAGAAGTACTGGATTTGCATCAATTTTGACATTTCTATCGCTTGCAATGGCTCATCAGAATACACATACACAAACTAAATAATATTTTGACTGAATAGAAAAACATAAAAGCGTTATATGATGGTCATTTTGCTTAACAAAATTTAAAAAAGGATCACACTTTAAAAGGTATGACGTAGACACTCTATTACAATTCAAGAATTTGTGGATCCACACTATGAAGGTGACCTATAGATCACATGAAAACAACATAGTTGTTATTCCAAAGTTCTCCCTTCGACTAAATAAAAATCATATTTAAAAGAAAAAGGGACTAATAAACAAATGCAAAGTTAAGTTGTCAATAGTGGTCCATAATTTGATTTGTATATATATTTTTCCTATAATCAAACAAAATTTGGTTTGAAGACTCAACCATTTTGCTCGTATCACAAAGAACATATGTAGACATCATGAGTAGCAAAAAGAAATACAACTTTGACACTTTTTAGTCATTGAAAGAGTAATTTTCAAAGTTGGAGGGAAAAGGAAAGGTTAAAGATTCATATAATCTTTCAAATCATAACCTAGAGTAGGGTGTACATGACCGGGTTGATTCCAATTTTTCAAATATACAACCAAAGTATTTTTGTCGAATTTTTGAATTTATAAACCAAACAAAATCAATTAAACTCTGATTTTTTAACTTCGGTTTTTTTTTCTGGATTTTCGAGATTTTTTCAATAAAGTATTCATACAAACATATAATTTACTTTTACTTCAAATATTTCTTTAGTCCTACCAAAATGCACCTATCTACGTTTTTTCTCAGGAAAATAATAAAAAATATGATATGATAAATAACACTAAAATATCCTATAAAAAATCGTGTAAAACAAATATTGCAAATTAATAAGTCATAATGATATTGATCACAATTTAAAGTACTAGATCATGCCAAAATAAGTTTACTAAGTATTTCTTACATGACTAAATATTAAAAGAAAGCAAAATTACATCATGTGTTTTAATTGTCTAAATCTATATAAAATTAAAAACAAATATTCAATATTATTGTCATTCTTAGTGTTGAATTGATTTTCTTTGTTTATTGGTATTAATTTGATTTTTATTTGAACTTTATTATAATTACCAACA